ATAATTATTATAATTAACATATTAATAATGTAACTTTAAAATTTTTTGTTTGTCTCTCTGCGTGATGCATGATTACAAAAATATTTTGTAAACAACAATTGATTATTGGTACAGTCAGGAATATTACTAAATATAGTAATACTTCAGACTTATATTGGTTCCTAATTCCTAGTATAACCAATAGTTTTAAGATTTTTATGTAGTTATGTAGCTTTTGGTATAAAGGTATATAAAAAAATTTTGGTAGTATATTTTTGTTGAGAATATATTGAAGTGTAGTATTGATAATGCAAGTGTAAATCTTGTGCTATATTGTTTTTAGGCTTTCAGATATGTTAGTTGTAGTTAAAATATTGTATTGAGCTATATTAGTATTTATTTGCTTTGTAAAGTTGTTCCAATTAGTGTTTGTAGTCAATTTTGTATTAGTCGATTTTGTATTAGTCAATTTTATCAACTTAACCAGCTTAATCAGCCGATTTTTTAAAATATCGGCTTAGTCGATTTTATATTATAGCTATTATTATTATTTTTAGAATATTTAAAGAATTTTTATATAACTAAAATATCTTCTATTTTATTCAAAAATTATCTAACTCTCCAGAAATTATATCATTGTCTTCAGACTAAAGATCTGAAAACAGCAATATAGTTTCTGAGAAGTTAGATAATTTACCGAATAAAACAGAGAATATTTCAATTATCTGAAAATTCTTTAGGTGTCTCAGAAATAATGATAATAGCTGCAACTATATTAAAAATTACAACTAATTAAATTAAGTTGATTTGATAGTTTACATTATTCTTTTTGAAAAATTTCGCAAAGAATTTCAACAGAATCAAATATAGTATAGCTTACTCTAGCATTTCTAAAAATTTTGCTAGGAGATCAGTAGAATTAGTTACATTATATTGTCATGTGATCTGATTAAACAACAAATCAAATATAGCATATCAATATTGTAACTCTGTATGTATTTATAATATATATTTATCATTTTATGCTTTAAAAAAAACTTTATTTATTATACAGTTAACTCCAGGTATAATGAATCTCTCTGTAACAAACTTCAAAATTAACAAACTCAAAACTATAATTTTTTTATAATAGTTCATTATAAAAGAAAATATAAGGTTAAATTTATTTAAGATTAGTATAATTGACAAATCATAAATTAATATTCTGATGAATCTATTAACTGTATTTTTAAGCCTTTATATTCAGATAGAGAAAAAAAGAAATTTACAAATTGCAAATGGAAGTATTGAATGAAAATTTTTTTGGTGATGCAATTAAACCTTATGAAAAAAATCTAAAAACAATGTAAGTATAAACTTTTTATGAAGTTTACTATTAGAATATTTGAAGTAAAAATCTTCTAAATAGCTAAATAGCTACTATAGCTAAGCAAATATTGTTGGATGTGCAACTCAAAAAATAAACTGAAATTAAAGTGGTTTATAGATAGATTGGCTTTTATAGTAGAAAAAGCACAAGATATGATATTTTATAATAATTTAAAATCAGTTTTAGAGTTGTTACAAAATTTTTTTTTTGAATTATTAGATAGTTTGGATTTGGGAATCAGGATTTCTACTTAATTTGAGGTTATAATTAAAATCCAAATATACATAACATCCTATTTTCGATCAATATAGCAATAGTATTAATCAAATTTGTTAGATTAATATTAATAAATACAATATATGCATATTTAATATTAACTTAACCAGGAACAAATTTTAAAAGAGATCAGGATAAAGATCGAATAGATATTTATAATTTAATTGGCTTGATAAACACTATATTATATAGACTTTTGGTAACAGTAAGGTTTAATTTAATATTAAATATTATGCTATAATAATAAGAGCTATAAAAACTTAAGATAATAGGCATTTACGCGTTATTTAACTACTGAAGCAAAATTTTGATCATCATCTAATACATTAAGACTGAACAGTAATTTAAGAGATACAATCTGTGTATAGTTACTAGATAATAAAATTGGACCAATAAATAATTTAAACGTATCTGCAATTCTATTGCAACTTAGAAGTATATAACCAAATTGATACTATTACAACATTTTGTGGTGTATTTGCCAAAGCTTCTAATAATAAACCAGAAACTTCAATATTAATTTTGGCACAAGTTGTCAAATTCTTTTTGAACACAACTGAACTTGTTAACCTTAATGCTATCAAAAAAAAATTTCTACTTCGAAACTTACTACTTTGATTGTATCTAATGAATTAATTTCATTCATATATTAGATTAATAAAATTCTAGTTTTTGTTATCCCTTAAACCATCCAAATAAGCAGACAAATTTGTCTGCTTAAATTTTATAAATTTTGATCTATTTTTTTTAAAAATAAAAATATTTAATAATTTTTTTTTTAAATAAAAACTATGATTATATACTATTTAAA